TCCTTCCTTCCTTCCTTCCTTCCTTGTTCCCCTTCCTTGTTCCCCTTCCCTCCTCCCCTTCCTTCTTTCCTTCCTCCCTTCCTTCTTCCCTGTCTCCATCCTTCCTTGTATAATAGCATTCATTGAAGACCTTTTTTAGGTGATCATATTTAATAAAATGTTTCCAACACTGTGGATAAGCTGAAAATCTTTAAAATTCATGTTCAGCTTCAGCTATTCATTTTGTGTTATTTGTAGATGTGTGTATACTTTATAGTGACATTTAGATAACAAAAGTAATTATTTTGACTTTACAGGTCTTATTGTATACAATTACATGTTAATTTACAATACAATACATCTTTTAAAAAAACCCCTTTTTTCTTGCAGATTGACAAAATAATGAGTTCCATTGATGCTGGTATAACTACTGGACTTGAAGAGATTACTGATGGTACTGCAAGTAAGAAACAAATGCTTTATTTCTTTTAAGATTATATTAATAAGTTAGAAAAATAGCAAATTGTACCGGTTTATTCAAGCTGTCTTATATTAGAGTGTATTTCTGACCACAATTAATTTCTTTCATTACATTAATTGAAGTGCAGGGTTTTCTGGATATCAGTCAATCAAAAAGTTGAATTATGTGCCATCAAGTGAACGTTGACTTTTACTGATCACATAAATTTTCTCTAACCCAGTCTTTCAGGTCTTTTAATGGCATACCCAATGGTGGGATTCAAATAATTTAGCAACTGGTTAAATTTAATTAATTAATTAATTAATTAATTACTGGCCGTAATGACTGGCTGGGTAATCATGTGACATCACTCACGTCGAGGGGCGCCTCACCTCTCCTGGCCTCTCCTTACCACATCCGGCCTGCATCACCCCTCCCACCCACTCCTTATCATGCCTGGCCTCTCCTCACCTTGCCTGGCCTCTCCTCAACTTACAACCTCAATTGAGCCCAAAATTTATGTTGCTAAGTGAGAAATTTATTTAAGTAAATTTTGCCCCACTTCATGACTTTTCTTGCCACATTTGTTAAATGAATCACTGCAGTTGTTAAGTTAGTAACACAGCTGTTAAGTGAATCTGGCTTCCCCATTGAGGTTGTAAAAGGGGATCACATGATCCTGGGAGACTACAACCATCATAAATGTCAACCATCTGAATTTTGATCACATGACTGTGGGGATGCTGCAATGATAGTAAGTGTGAAAAACAGTCATTAGTCACTTTTTTCAGTGCCATCATAACTTTGAATGGTCACTAAATGAACTATTGTAAGTCAAAAATACAAAAATAGAAAAACCTTCTTTGCTTGCAAAAAGCTGCCCTAATAACAATCATTGGATTAGAAATGGGGGAATACACACTGAAGATCAATGAGCCATCATGGAAACCTAAACCATTCTGTCCAAATACCTTCCTTTTCATCAGCAATACCTGCAACCCAGAGTTACAAATCAGGCAGGGTGCCAGAGCATCTTGAGGAATTAAAATAGTTAAAATGCAATAATACCTATCAGCAGCCAATTCTTGCTCATAAAGTGAAACCCTTTAGTAGAGAGGTCATTTAAGCTCTCCAGAAAGTGAGTGGGCATACTTGGGCTACATGATGCCAAGCTAAAGAGACAAATTTACAAGTATATAGGGGATCGGCAGCGGCTACTTTAAGTGCTCCCTTGTCTCACAGCCGGGGCCGCTCCAGGCCGCCGGCCGCTGACACGTGCTCCTGCAAGAGCCTCTGGGCAGTGCCGGGAGGCCACAGAGAAGCTTCACTCCATTTTTCACTCAGCCTTCCCCCAGAGGCGATCTGGGACTTCCAACCGCGGAGCTTGGAGAAGCAGCGGACGCAGGCCGGGACAGCGGGGGGCGGGCAGCGGGGCACTTTGCATCGCGGGAGCCACCAAGCGCCTTTGCTGCAGACCCGGGTGCTTGGTTGCTCCTGCTATGCAAA